AGTGCGCACCTTGATTGAGGGCCTTTTTCTGAACTTTGTGCTGTGTGCAGAGTGCGCACCTTGATTAAGGACCATTTTTCGAACTTTGTGCTATTCCCAACTGTGCGCCGAGTACGCAYCTTGATTTTTCTGCTATTCACAACTATGAGCTGAGTGCGCACCTCGATTGAGGGTCATTCACAACTGTATGCCGTAAGCGCACCATAMCTGAGAACCATTTTCAAGTGTGCACTATATCTGAGGGTCGATTTTGAGTCTGCACACGTACTRTTGACCAACTCTCAATTGATGACAATAGTGGTCCGGCCCTAAGAGAAGGCCAAGTTTTGCCCGCGGTAAACAGCTTTCACTGAGTACTATAATTACAAGGAGTAGTATACTAGACCTATGCAATGATCGATTATCATTTGATCAACAGATTGAGCATGATATTATATTTTAAGTGTGCGCTCGCGCGCGCCCAGACCAAATATTATATTTTAATTGCGCGCCCGCGCGCGCTCAGACCAGATATTATATTTTAAGTGCGCGCCCGCGCGTGCCTAGACCAGATATTTTAAGCGTGCGCCCGCGCGCGCCCAGACCAGATATTATATTTTAGAGTGCGCGCCCATGCGCGCCCAAGCTTGGCATTGCAGTTAGAGTGCGCGCCCATGCGCGCCCAAGCTTGGTATTGCAGTTAGAGTGCGCGCCCATGCGCGCCCAAGCTTGACATTGCAGTTAGAGTACGCGCCCATGCGCGCCCTAGCTCGGCATAGCAGTTAGARTGAGCGCCCATGCGCGCCCAAGCTCGACATCGCTGTTAGAGCACGCGCYCGTGTGCGACCAGGCTGRATATTGTTATTTGAGTGCGCACCCGTGTGCGACCAGGCTGGATATTGCTATTTGAGTGCGCACCCGTGTGYGCCCAGGCTGGATATAGTTATTTGAGTGCGCGCCCATGTGCACTTGCGCTGGACGTGTGCGCCCASGCTGGTTATTGTCGTTTGAGTGCGAGCCCATRTGCGCCCGAGSATAGGGTTGCTAGATGGGATGATTTGCCTTCACATACCCGTTGATTTATTCCCTTGCTGATCAGCAACACCTCATGCATATGATGTTTTCCCTCGCTCGGGGAGAATTGGCAGTTCAGTCCCTGCACTGATGACCTGGCTCAGTCTAGCCCCAGTACATTCAGCATTTACGTCTGGTCCCTGTGCATGAGATGTTTTACCGATCAGTTGCTGTTCAGCCGGGCCCTTCAGGCGGGCCTACTTGAGATTGTTGCTGTTCAGCTGGGCCCTTCAGGCGGGCCTACTTGAGATTGTTGCTGTTCAGCCGGGCCCTTCAGGCGGGCCTACTTGAGATTGTTGCTGTTCAGCCGGGCCCCTTCAGGCGGGCCCACTTCTCGAGATTGTTGCAGTTTTCAGCCAGGCCCCTTTCAGGCGGGCCCTTTCTTTTGAGATAGCTGCTGTTCAGCCGGGCCCATTAAGGCGGGCTTTATATTGAGTTGCCGTTCAGCCGGGCCCATTCAGGCGGGCCCTATATCGAGTTGTAGTCAGGCCATTCAAACAGGCCTCCACATTGAGTTGCAAAGTGTTTTAGTCTGTCGTGTTTACCATTTTCACCAAGTGAGTATGCTGACTATCGGACTTGAACCGATAACCCGTAGGAACAAATTTTAAGTCTGTCGTGTTTACCATTTTCACCAAGTGAGCTCTGATTGCTATCCGGCTAGGTCTTGGAGGGAGTATCTGCATTAGTGAGAGCGTGCATTCCATCCAAGCTGGCCCGACGTCGTGAGACTACCCCTAAGTGGGGTAGATTGATTGAGAGGCTCTGCTACAGACATGTGGGACATCAAAGTTTCACTATCAGGGCAAATGAGTCCTCGACTCCGGGACACACGCTTGTGATCACCTACTCGGTGAAGGGGGCCGAGACGGGAGTGAAGGGCACCACATACGACAGGATTGCGGATGACATATTTCGCAGGGAGAGCTATTGGAGGGACAACTGGCTACCCGTGGTGTTTCCTCGCGTACCTTCAGCACCTGGGGTTATGTTCTTCGATTTTGACGGATGCAACCCCAAGCCCCTTAGTGAGCCCCGCAGCAAGGAGAAGAGGCGGAAGGACGACCGGATCCAGAGAGAGAGAACCAGATCCGGAGTCCCAATCACTACATGTGTCCCGAAATCAGAGACAGATGAGTCGGATCTGGAGCCGTGCTCTGTGCGTGACCTTGATCTTGGCGATTATTTCGACTGGGACACTCATAGGGGCTGAGTTTGAGGATAGTGACAAGAGCGCTGAAGATCGGTGAGCGACGACGACGGAGAGCGACTTTGAGGAGGATTGCGTATCTTCTTGCACGGTATCTCCTTGAGGGTGATTGACTCCTACATGTCAGACGACCCTAGGTCTGAGACAGTTATTGGTCCCCCAAAAGGGGAGGGTCCAGTCCCATACCTCGGAGATGGCTATAGTCATTTGGTTGGGACAGATTTTGCTATGCAGGCCTATCGGAAGCCCCTCTACGGAGATCGTTTCCTCGAGGTATCCTACATCTACTCTGGAGGGAGAGGACGGATTGAGATTTTGATTGGAGCTACAGGCAACATTATCCTTGCGGAGGAGCTTTATCTCAGGAGCATTGCGGACGAGGAGATGGCGAGATGCATGGCCTATATCTTCAAGATTGATCCAGCAGCGCCTCTCGATATCAGCTATGTGGTTCTAGAGTCTATAGCCACGCGGGTTCTCAATGACGAGGCGCGAGATCTGGAGTCCCAGACGACAGCACTCACTCACGAGGGGGTACCACTTATTATCATTGATTGAGGTTCTCTTTTTTCAGTCACTATGATGTATTACGACATTATTATTTATTAGTGACTGCAGCCCTCCGATGGCTGCTCCCTGCATACACTGTGTACTACTCTTCAGTCTTGTATCTATGGTCATGCTCCTGCAGAGTCTGGTTTCTGGTCTTCTCATTCTATCAATATCAATTGCTCTATGATGTATGTATGCTGTTTTCCTCCTTCTGATACACAGGTTACACTCAAGGCAGCATGAAGGACTCCTGGATGATAGGGACTCCGGTGACCTTGAGTCTAGCCTTTATACGGGGTCAGGTGCAGGCGATAAACCCGAACGCCTCACTCTAAGCCGTGTCGCCGCTGACAGAAGGGATAACCCTGACTACTCGGTTGTATGACAAAGTGTGACTGACTTTGAATACACCTCTATTTTTATACCTATAAAAATCCTGCGTGACAGCCTGCCAGTCCTCCAACTCACTGGGTTCGGTCCGGGGAAGGATATCTAACCAGACCCTTGAAGCAGTGGGGGCGCGACAAAAATGGCGCCGTTGCTGGGGACTCAAAAATCTTGAGTTCCTGGGAGCGGACCTTGGTCACAATATTCAGTGACTAGGCAGTAGTCTAATATTTCGTACAAGGTCTGGCTCAGGTCAGAAAGACTATTCGGCTAGAGGAGCCCCGAGAGGAGGGGCCTCTTGCAGAAGTCTATCTGAAGTGACTTAGACCTGCAAGCAAGGGTTCAGAATTTTTTTTTTTGACCCTTCGCTTGACAAGTCTATAAGTCAGAAACCAGATGAGGACTGAAGAGTATAATGTCCTAGAAGCCCTAACTCGTGTCACCTGCGGTGGTGTTTTCCCTTATATGTTTGTCAAATGCATTACTTGTGTGAAAAGTGCAACGACTGTACATGTGCTTGTCTCTAGATTCCTTGACACTGATAATTATGATATTCGACCCTACATCCTAGAAGGGACTAATCGGGATCCGAGTTTCTTTACCAATTGGGATGTCATAGTGGAGTGTGTCAAAGCCAAGAGGGATCAATTGAGACAACAAGGGATAGAGGCGAGTTGGAGCTTACTGCGTAGGATTTATGAGAAGATTCCTACCCCGCTAGTACCTAAAGGATTCTGTGATGGTAGGAACTGGCAACCAATCATCAATGCAACACTGAGAAGGCAAACCTGGTAAGTAGTCAATGTCAGCAGTAACAAAAGCGATAGAGGCGCTGACTAGGATCACGGTTGGGGGTGCCTTCCCGTACGTCATTGAGAGGTGTGTGACTTGTGAGCACGACTCAGTGATCTTGTACGTCCTTGTAGCTCGGTTTCTTGATACGGATGACTATGATGTGAGGCCATATGTATCTGCTGAGACAAGGAGAGGGATCGATTACGAGGCATGTTGGATAGCTGCTGCAGAGTATATACTGAATGAAAGGCTGTTGTTGAGACAACGAGGGAAGAAAGTGACTCGGAGTGTCCTGCCTAGAGAGTTTGAGAGATTCCCAAGCCCGCCCGTGCCCGCTAGCTTCTGCGACGGGAAGGACTGGGGGGACCAATCCTCAACGCCTTACTTAGGGATCGAGTGTGGTGAGCCATGCCAAGAGATGTCTACACTCCTGATGACGGAGAGAGCTTCTGCTTCGAGGTCTATCTAGATGAGCAACGAGCGACTGTCATCAGGGCCGTGAGAGGATGCGACACTAGGCTAGGTGGGCGCGATGAGATTGGCATGGTAGAGCACTACCTTGAGCTTATGCGGGCGGCTGCTTTTAGAGCAATTACAGATCAGACTAAGATTAGGCATTTGTTGGATTGCAAGAGTTCGGATGGTAGGAGAGTGATGCGACATGCGAAAGATGAGACCATCCTATCTAGACAGCGTCCTGCGGACAGTCTAGCTAGAGGCGCTAGAAGCAGCCCAAGGCAATGATATTGGAATGTGAAAACTCTAAGTCAATTGCGACTGTGACCATTGGTAGAGGATGGTTAGATAAAGTAACTGAGACCGACAGTCCATTCGAGATATTGAGACACGACGTCTGTAAGGAAGGGCGTTTAGTTTCTATGTTCCAGTGGTCAGATTTCTCAAGACCAACGAGCTTGACGTGAGGATTTATGCTCAGGAAGGAATAAAAGAGGAAGAAGGCTATTTAGGGTGCTTGAGGAGAGTGCATTCACCTCTCAAGGGTAAGGGTGCTACTTTGAAGCTTGGATGAGAAAGTGACTTGGGGGAAACGAGTCAGGGAATTCGAAAGACTCCCTAGCTTTCTGACTACGGATAGCTTCACTGACAGGAGAGACTGGGCGCCTCTTCTAGAAGCTATTGCCGTGGTTGGTAAGGCAAAAGAAAATGACCTAGTCATGCGACGAAAGACTTTGTTTTCCGATACCTTTGTACGTCGATTCGAAGTTTAAGACGAAGCTTCTCCTGAATTTTTCATCACCTGACAATGGAAAGGAGCTTGTTATGGCTGACGAGTATGCTGGTTTCCTAGGAAGCAAGAATAGTTTGAGGAGGCTGAAGGAAAAGAACTACCAGATATTAATTCTTCGGTCATCTCGCGCCTACTCCGGGATTTAGAGCCCCTCACGGTAGGAGGAGCATTTCCATATGAGATTGAGAGATACACTGTCTTAGCCATATTTGAGGCAGAGGAGAAAGTGTATATGTTATTAACTCGCTTCCTAGAGACCAATGAATATGATGTACGTATATACACTCCAGTGACTAGGAAGATTTTGCGGCGGTACACTGGTGTCACGAGTGGGCACTTAGTCACGTCTGTAAATATAGAGACGAACTCAAGAAGGAAGGTATGAAAGTTACTTGTAGTGTGGAGCCTACTGAGTACGAGGGTTTTCCAAGTCGTCCTATTCCAGATAGCTTCGTCAATGCTGAGGACTGGGAGCCTATTCTTAATGCCGTTTTGAAAGATAGGAAGTGGAGTAGTGTCAACATTGACGATTCAGGCACTGGATAGGATTAGACGGATCATGGCGGTCGCTAGGGACTAGGCAATGTCTGGTTAACTGTCCGGCAGTCACGGCAACACTAGACGCCTTGGTTCCATTTACCAGAGGAGGAGTCTTTCCCTACAAGATAGAGCGCTGCATATCCCTGGAGGAGAAGCATGCCCCTGGGAAGGCGTATGTCCTTGTAGTGAAGTTCCTCGACACTGGTGAGTATGATATCCGGCCCTATGTCCCTTCACTAAGGGAGAAGGGGACAGATCGTGAATCTTTTCGTAATTGGATCAGTAGTGTAATTGATCAAGAAAGAAGAGGGTTAGAAAGAAAAGGAGCAAGAGTAGTTCGTAACATAGCACCGATTGTGTTTGACAGGATTCGCGAACCGATTTTGCCAGAAAGTTTTACCGACGGCAGATACTGGGAACCAATTCTAAACGCCATCATAAGAGAGAAAAGGTTCAGGAAGAAATAGGAGTTTAACCAATAAATCAGACAAGATGGTTAGGGGACCGGACGCAAGGCAGAACCTTGCTAGTTCCTCCGCAGGTGACGGAGAAGTGACCACTACCACTGTTCTACAAGAAATGTTGAAAAGGATAGAGGCAATGAAGATCGGGATGGACACTATGAATGTTCGTCTGGACCTTCCAAGAGCTAAGGTACCTCCAGAGATTATACCCTGCTTTGATGGAACCAAGGTTAGGGAGTTCCTGGAAGACTATGATGTCTTCGGTATGAGCCACGATTGGTCGGACAAACAGAAGTTGAAAGCTCTGCTAGCCTATGTTGAGCCTAAGATGAGGGTGTCGGTGACAAAAACGACACAAAGACTGACAACGTGGGTCGAGGTTAGACAAAAGATGTTGGAAGAATATGTGAAGTATGACGTCCCAACGACCATGCAAAATTTGTTGGAAGTGCGACGTTCAAAATGTGCAACCCTTGATCAATTCCTAGAGGATTTTGAGCGGGTTGCGCGGAGAGTACCCTTCCTAGATGAGGCCTAGAAGTGGCATGTCCTGGTAACTAATTTTGCAGAGGATGAAAGAAAGAGTGTGGTAAGCCGCGCTGCTCATTATCCTCTAAAGTGGGATGAAGTGGTTGAGATGGTCCGTGAACTACCTTGGGTGTCAAACCGGAAGTAGTCTCTGAAACAGATGAAAGCAATCACTAGTGCAAGAGAGGGAAATGTTGAGGCAGCTACGGGAGGAAACTTGAAGGCCGAAGAGATCCTTGGTCTTCTCGTTAAGCTTGGTAGCTTCAAAAAGTTAACCCTTTCTGCCCCAGCGACTCAAGCACTTGTTGGAGCCGAAGAAGGTAAGGAAGAAAGAAAGAAGGAGAAGCAAAAGGAAGATAGTGAGAGTGAGAGCGAGAGTAGTGATGACGGTGACCCTAGGCGAAGGAGAAAAGAGAGACAAAAGAAGAAGCGCGACCGGATTGGAAGAAAGATAATAAGAGCCAAGATTGACAAAGGAGAGATGGCCCCTTCCGATGTTATTACTGTGACGAGGAAGGCCATACTATAACTCGGTGCCCTTTACTAGAGAAGGAACTCGAAGAAGGGATTGTCAAGAAGAATGTCAATGAGCACGTCTGTGATGCCAATTAGAACAAGATAGATTTCCGAGTCAAAGGAGGGATGCGAACAGTTATCCTATAAAAAGCTAAGGCCAATAAGGATAAAAAGAAGAAGGCTAGAGTTAATGTTATTACCTTTGATGGTATGCTACCTCCGGAGATAGTGGCTCGAGACGACAATCCCGAAAGTCAAAACCTGAATGTATCCCATATCAGCCAAAAAGAGGTCGAAAAGAAAAAGCGAGAGAAGACTCAAAGAGAGCTAGACCAGCTGATAGATGGGACCAAGGACCTAGTGAAGGAAGGGAAAGGAAAGGAAGCTGCCGGAAAGAAGAGAAGGGTGGTCTTGAGATCCGAAGCCAAGGAAGGGATCTCGATAGATGAAGTAGTAAAGAAATTACTCGAGG